AGTCCAGTAACAGCATACGTGAAAGTGAAAGTCAAATGAAGGTGAATATTGACAAAACCAAAGTGATGCATATCTCAAAACCACCAAGAAATATTCACTGAATGAGAAGAATTAGAACAGGTGTAAGAATTCAAGTATTTTGGAAGCATGATACCCACATCTGGAATTTGCTACAAGCAAATAAGTATGAGGCTAGTGATGTGAAAGGTTGTATGTCATAAAAAGGGCAACCAGGAGACTGAATAAATAACAAAAAGCAACTTGTAGACAACTTGATTTGGGGGAATGATATTACAAAAGGAGTCCAACTTGCTCAATAGCTTTTAAAATGTGCGCTTGGAGGAGGATAGAAAGGATTGTCTGGGTAGAAAGAGTAACAAATGCTGAGGAAAGTGAACGTGTAAAGAAATTTGCTGATAGTAGAGTCATAAACTCATACTCATAGAAATAGGCCCTTCAGCCCATCTTGCCTATGCCAACCAACAAACATCAAACTACATTAATTCCATTTACCAACACTTGGTCCATAGCCCACTATGCCTTGGCATTTTAGGTGTTTGTCCAGTTGCTGCTAAATGTGGCGTGAGTAATTGCCTTCATCACTCTCAGGCAGAGAGTTCCATATTTCTACCATGCTGTGAGTGAAAAAATGTTTCCTCAGATCCTCTCTAAACTATTTACTCCTCTCCTTAAACTTGTGCCCTCTGATCTGAGACACATCTTCCATGGGGAAAAGAATCTCATGATCTGCCCTATCTATACCTCTCAATTTTGTATACTTCAATCAGATTCCCCCTTTCAACCTCCTCTGCTTCAGGGAAAACAAACCTAGCCTATCCAGTCTGTCCTCATAATTGAGACTTCCCATCCAGGCAACATCCTAGTGAATCTCCATTGCAATCTTCTGAAAGTGTGGCAACCAGAAGGCACACAGTATTCCATTTGTGACCTAAACAATGTTTTATAAATTTGTAACAAATTCTTTTTTCTGATATTCTCTGCCCTAGTTAATGAAGGCAAACGTCCTTCATGCCTTCATCACCACCTTGTGTACCTGTGCTGACACCTTCAGGGATCTATGGACTTGTACACCAAGGTCCCTTTATTCCTGTCTCCAGGGACTTAGCATATGTTGTATATGTCCTTCCCTTATTAGACTTCCCAAAATGCATCAGGACTAAATTCCATCTACTGTTGCTCTGCCCAATTTACTGGCTGATCAATATCAGACTGTAGCCTGGGACCATCCTTTTCATTATCAACAACACCACCTATCCTAAGATATTTCATGGCCCCCTCTTTGTCCTAATTTCTTTTTTAAGCACCTCACTACACACAATATACTTCTGAAAGGTCTCCTCTGTTTTTAATGGACTGAACCTAACATATGCTTCCTTCTTTTTCTTTTATCAAACTTGTGATATCACTTGACGTCCAGAGTTCGCTAGACTTGCTGACTTTGCTCTTCAATCTTAGAAGAATGTGCTGGCCCTGAACACTCTCTGTACTACTTTTAAAGACTCCCACTTTCCAAGGGTAGGCTTACTTCCAAGTAGCTGCTCCCAGTCCATGTTTGCCAGATCCTAGCTAATGATATTGAAATTGGCTTCCACCAGTTTAGACACAACTTCTGTACAATCCTTATCCCATTCCATAAGGACATTGAAACTTAGAGTTGTGGTCACTGTCCCCAAAACACACACTGACACTTCAGCCACTTGACCGGCTTTATTCCTTAGGATTAGGTCTAGCTGTGCCTCCAGCTGTAGTCGGACTATCTACATACTGGCATAAAAAGCTCTCTTGGGTGCATTTTAAAATTCCACTCTGTCTAATATTTTTACACTAAGGCAATTCCAGTTAATGTTAGCAGTGGAATCCCCTATTACTGTAATCCTTTTCCTCTCATACCTTTTGTGATTTGCCTACATATATGCTCCTCTATTCCCTCTCTGGCTTTTGGGAGATGTGTAGTATTTTCAGAACAAAGTGATTGCCCTTTTCTTGTTTCTAATCTCTACCCAGATGCCTCATTTGAAGAGCCTTTTAAGACATCCTCCCTCATTACTGCAGTGATCATCTCCTTTATCAATAATGTAATGCCCCCACCTCTCTTACATCCTTCTGACCAAAATCAGGCCGGAAACTTCTGTACCATGGAATGTTGAGCTACCAGACCTGTCCTTCAACCATACCTCAGCAATTGCAACAATATCATATTCCCACATGCTGATCAATGCTCAAAGTTCATCCGCCTTACCAGTCAGGCTCCTTGCATTAAAATAGATACAGTTTCACTTTCTAGTCTTCCCATGCGCCTTATCATGCACAAGTCTTCTGTACCTACAGGTATTCCTTCTGTATCTGATTAAACTTTGAACTTTGCTCCTCGCTTTGCACCTAGTCTATGCCCCACCCACCTGCCAAATTAGTTTAAAACCTACCCAGTAGCATGAGCAAACCTCCTAGCAAGGATATTGGACCCACTCTGGTCCAGTTGCAACCTGTCCAACTTGTATGGACCCCATGTAACCCAGAAATTGTGTTGCTGATCCAAAAATATAAAGCCCTCCCTCCTACACCATCCTTTTAGCAACGTGTTCATTGGATCTATCTTCCTATTCATGTAGTCAGTGGCACGTGGCACTGAAAGTAATTCGGAGATTACAGCCTTAGCAGTCATCTTCTTTAATCTACTACCTAACTCTCTAAATTAATGCTGTAGGACCTAATTTTTTTTTTATTTTAACCTATGTTGTGGGTACCAGCATGTACCATGTCTGCTGGGTGTTGGTGGCTCAGTGGTTAGCACCACTGCCTCACAGTGCAAGGGACCCGGGTTCAATTCCACCCTTGGGCGACTGTCTGTGTGGAGTTTGCACATTCTCCCCATGTCTGCGTGGGTTTCCTCCGGGTGCTCCGGTTTCCTCCCACAGTCTAAAGATGTGTAGGCTAAGTGGATTGACCATGCTAAATTGCCTGTAGTGTTCAGGGATGTGTAGATTAACTGGGTTATAGGGGGATGGGTCTGGGTGGGATGCTCTGAGGGTTGGTGTGCACTTGTTTCCAAGACTGTTACCCACTTGTTCCACACTGTAGGGATTCTATATTTTTTAAAAATTAGAATGCTGTGCAGCCGCTCTGAGACATCCCTGACCCTGCCACTGCCCTCCAAACAGTAATCTGTTTGAGAAGGGGATAATCACAGGGGACTCTTGTACTACCTGCCCAGGCTACTTGTCTTTCCTGATGGTCACCCAACACTTTTCTGTTTGTGTAGCCATTACTGGTGGTGTGACCAACTTGCTAAATGTGCTATCCATGACATTCTCAGCTGGTGTTGGAGTATGGTGACTTAAAACACTTTGTTTTTGTAAAGAATACTAGTGTCAATAAATTAATATTTTGTTCTATTCTATTATGGATGCTGCATAGTGAGTCCATCTGCGGCTCCACGTGCTCCATGCAGCAAACCAAGAGCTGCAGCAGAGCATACTTCCTGCATATTTGGTCACTGGAAGTGTCCCTGATTTCCCACAGATTACAGGAGGAGCATTCCATGGGGCTGAGTTCTGCCATTGTGAACTTTACCAATTACCAACTCAAGCAATAAACTAGGAGCCAAATCTCTCATCTCTTGCTGTCTTGTTTGTGGCATGCTCTCTCTCTCTCAAACTGACGCTCTCTCTCTTGCTTCCTGACAAACTACAAAAATAAGGACATGATGTCTCCCTCTGATACAGCCCTCTTGGTACCTAAAGCTGGTTCCTAAGCAGCCAGTCACCAATTGTTTTTCCATGTTCAGAATTAATTTTTTAAAATTTTTTTTATCACACACCACTCAGTGCAAGCTGCTCCCTCACAAGCTCTGGTCTGAGACTCCCATTTCCTAGTGAATAAGCCTCACAGACCCAGTAGTTTTAGTTTTTAATGCAAGCTTAATCACCCAATCAGCTGTTTTCTCCTGCCTTGCATTCCTTTTTTTTTGAACCCTGACATCACCTCAGGTGCTCTGGGATTTAGTGAAGGTTTCACCTGCTCCTCTCCCACTGTTTCTCTGACGTAGCTTGATCTGGACCTTGCCCCTTAGTGAGGTCTCCTGATAAAAACCTACTGTTCACCCCCCAGGTTTGCTCTGCGCCTCTCCTCTCCCACTGCTGCTCCAACTGATTGACTGGGAAAAGGCACTAATTGTGCAGGGCATATATTAAGAAGAAGTGGCCTAGTATGAGATATCATGGAGGGAAAATATCAAGGAAAACAATGAAGGCAGAGAATATCAATGCTGTATGACCTGAAAATGAAAAGAAATTATTGGAAATGCCACAGGATAGAAACTGAGGAAAGAACCTGCCTTTGGGCAGAGCACGGTTGATGAGAGCTACACTGAATAAGCTCACTTTTGGCATTTCTTCAGTTATCTGGAAAGCCTGGTTGCTGTTAAATTCCTGTGGGAAGGCAATTCTCAGATAGCTGTGGAAGCTCAGCCTTTGAATTTGTTTAAAAGTAGTGATTGGTAATCAGCAATCTATCGATGATACAAAGGATAATAGGATAGTCTGGGTAGAAGTCATTGAAGTGTTGGATCAGCCACTGGTACAGCAGGCTGATCGGGCTGAATGGCCTACTGTTCCCATGTTCGCTATGGAAAAATGTTCATTGAAGTTAAAGCAGGTAATGTTAACAGGGGTATCTACCCTCAGTTGTGATATGTTCCAACCAGTCAATTATTAGTCCACCCATATAAAAATATTCCTTTGCTGTTCTTCGTTCACTGAAGAAAATTAGCTCCTTGAGGAATGGCATGTTGATGTCGGCTGACTCTCTGACTATCTTTGTTCATGGATGCGAAACGAGCCATGAGAAAAGTAGTGTTGTAGAGGGTGATAAGTTGAAAATTAATAGTCTACAGTTTTCTATTGGCAAATAGACCCCACAGAACTTTTCAATTATGTATTCATTGATCTGTTGGTAATTTTCCTTAAACTGTGCCATGCTAGGCTTTGTCTTTCTGGCAATGCAGACGTGCCTGGATGTATTAGCCTACTTCCAGCTTCAATCTTCAGTAACTCAAATTCTGGTAGGGATTGTATCCATATTTACCTATTGTTAACATCATAAAGTTGTATTTTTATGGAAGCTGTATATCTTGTCAATTTATTCTCCACCCTTTTTGTTGGGTGGAATGCCCACTGTCTGGATAAGAAGATTTGTGACAAGTGTCATAATCAATCAGAGAGCAGTGTCTTGCTGTAGATGGACTTTCTCTGAAGACATTTTGAAATCCCTTTTGTGAATTCACGGTTTGAACCATAGCATTGGATAATGGTGCCTCCACAAAATTATATTTGCTATTTATTGTAGCTTGTCTGGTCTCAAGTCTCTGAATGGATCCGAGTGTGTCCCTGTTTGTTGGTAAAGCTGTAATTTATGGTTGGGGTTTCCTAATACTTCCTAATACTTGCTTCCTAATACTGAAGTTATCAATTGAAAAACTTGCAAAGATAAAAGCTGCAAAGCAACGGATTTGAATGGAATGAATGTGTAGAGTCTGGTAGCAAGTAGCCGCTTATTAATGAACACATGCCTGCGCAGCATTGTATACATCGAATATAATGTCCATGGGAGGTAGTGATATCAATATAGAGAAACTTATCGTGAGCCGGGGAAGAAATTTAATCCAGCCAAATGGCCACTTTAATAATAGAGGAAGAACTTACTTTCTAGAGCACATTCATATGAAATAGGCTTAGCAAGGCACTCAGCTGAAGGGCAACTAGAAATGGTCAAAAAAGTGCTGGTCTTGTCAGTGATGTCCAAATCCCATGAAAGAACAAAGGAAATCAAGGACGTGGAAGTAAATAAAAATGCACTATCAGAATTGCTGATATAGGTACAAACCAGAAAGAGCTCCATTTTGATGTTGGAACATTTGTTAATATAATACAGTAGTTTGGGTTATTTTCTTGTTGACAAATTCTGCTTGTTGACAAATTCTGACTGAAAGGTTACGGCTGATTGTTGACACTCAATATGTTTTCCAATTTCTGGCAGCCAACATGTGGTTGAGTTCATTTCTGTGGGTGTTTTCCATATGGGCTGTCACTTGTGCGAACAACTGATTAGTAGTCAGAAACCTGCTGCTTCCAATTTTCCAGTCTTTAAATTGAATAGAAGGAAGACCCGGGCATTTTGAGCCTGTAGTTTCTTGACCGGAACTTTCTTGCAAATGCTGCTCCAAACCAAAGCATCTGTTCAGGGAGCCTGGTAGGTCTTATCTTATACTAAATGCATCCACCATTTCTGTGAAATCTATACATTGCTACAGGGTGTGATATTTTTCTGAGTGTGTGTGCTGACGCTAAATTCTGTGTTGACCACCCCAAGCAATGTTCTGTGTCGGGGGGAGTTTCTTCAGCATTGTTATTGAAAATGACTAGTTTTATTTCTCTGAGCCTTTTTTTTTCTGGTCTTTACGTATTATCCCTAGTCAATGTTTTAAACCATCAGTCCAGGAGAGTCTGAGAACAAGAACAAATAATCTGCTAAAAATCCTTCATTGTATCTCTTAAAGTTGACTTTCACAAGAATGTGTCACTTAAGAACAACACTAGCAATTGGAACTGCCTATCCTCATTTTAAACTCCTAGAAATCTAATTTAGAGACTGCAAATCAGATGAATGTATTTTAAATGCTGAAATGATATGGCCAGAGATTTTTCCTATGTATTATTAGTGGATCTCCTATGGTACTGCTTACAGTAAGTTGCATGATACCCTGCTTTATAAGAGCCACATTATACCATATAATGCAGAATCTGTTAACTTGCAAAGGTGTCCCTGATGAACCACATGCTCATAGAACATAGAACATTACAGCGCAGTACAGGCCCTTCGGCCCTCGATGTTGCGCTGACCTGTGAAACCAATCTGAAGCCCATCTAACCTACACTATTCCATTATCATCCATGTGTTTATCCAATGACCATTTAAATGCCCTTAAAGTTGGCGAGTCTACTACTGTTGCAGGCAGGGCATTCCACGCCCTTACTACTCTCGTGAGTAAAGAACCTACCTCTGACATCTGTCCTATATCTATCACCCCTCAATTTAAAGCTATGTCCCCTCATGCTAGCCATCATCATCCGAGGAAAAAGGCTGTCACTGTCCACCCTATCTAATCCTCTGATCATCTTGTAGGTCTCTATTAAGTCACCTCTTAACCTTTTTCTCTCTAACGAAAACAGCCTCAAGTCCCTCAGCCTTTCCTCATAAGACCTTCCCTCCATACCAGGCAACATCCTGGTAAATCTCCTCTGCGCCCTTTCCAATGCTTCCACATCCTTCCTATAATGCGGCGACCAGAACTGTACGCAATACGCCAAGTGCGGCCGCACCAGAGTTTTGTCCAGCTGCAACATGACCTCATGGCTCCGAAACTCAATCCCTCTACCAATAAAACCTAACACACCGTACGCCTTCTTAACAACCCTATCAACCTGGGTGGCAACTTCCAGTGATCTATGCACATGGACACCGAGATCTCTCTGCTCATCCACACTACCAAGAATCTTACCATAAGCCCAGTACTCTGTATTCCCGTTACTCCTTCCAAAGTGAATCACCTCACACTTTTCCGCATTAAACTCCATTTGCCACCTCTCAGCCCAGCTCTGCAGCTTATCTATGTCCCTCTGTAACCTGCAACATCCTTCCACACTATCCACAACTCCACCGACTTTAGTGTCATCTGCAAATTTACTAACCCATCCTTCTACGCCCTCATCCAGGTCATTTATAAAAATGACAAACAGCAGTGGCCCCAAAACAGATCCTTGAGGTACACCACTAGTAACTGAACTCCAGGATGAACATTTCCCATCAACCACCACCCTCTGTCTTCTTACAGTTGGTCAATTTCTGATCCAAACCGCTAAATCACCCTCAATCCCCTGCCTCCGTATTTTCTGCAATAGCCTACCATGGGGAACCTTATCAAACGCTTTACTGAAATCCATATACACCACATCAACCGCTTTACCCTCATCCACCTGTTTGGTCACCTTCTCAAAGAACTCAATAAGGTTTGTGAGGCACGACCTACTCTTCACAAAACCGTGTTGACTATCCCTAATCAAATTATTCCTTTCTCGATGATTATAAATCCTATCTCTCATAATCCTTTCCAACACTTTACCCACAACCGAAGTAAGGCTCACTGGTCGAAAATTACCAGGGTTGTCTCTACTCCCCTTCTTGAACAAGGGGACAACATTTGCTATCCTCCAGTCTTCTGGCACTGTTCCTGTGGACAATGATGACATAAAGATCAAAGCCAAAGGCTCTGCAATCTCCTCCCTAGCTTCCCAGAGAATCCTAGGATAAATCCCATCTGGCCCAGGGGACTTATCTATTTTCACACTTTCCAGAATTGCTAACACCTCCTCCTTATGAACCTCAATCCCATCTAGTCTAATAGCCTGTATCTCAGTATTCTCCTTTTGTCTTTTTCCTGTGTGAATACTGACAAAAAATATTCATTTAGCGCCTCTCCTATCTCTTCGGGCTCCACGCACAACTTCCCACTACTGTCCTTGACTGGCCCTAATCTTACTCTAGTCATTCTTTTATTCCTGACATACCTATAGAAAGCTTTAGGCTTTTCCTTGATCCTACCTGCTAAAGATTTCTCATGTCCCCTACTGCCTCTTCTTAGCTCTCTCTTTAGGTCCTTCCTGGCTAACTTGTAACTCTCAAGCGCCCTAACTGAGCCTTCGCGCCTCATCTCTACATAAGCCTCCTCCTTCCTCTTGACAAGAGATTCAACTTATTTAGTAAACCACGGTTCCCTCGCTCGACCACTTCCTCCCTGCCTGACAGGTACATACTTATCAAGGACACGAAGTAGCTGTTCCTTGAACAAGCTCCACATTTCAATTGTGCCCAGCCCCTGCAGTTTCCTTCTCCATCCTATGCATCCTAAATCTTGCCTAATCACCTCATAATTGCCTTTCCCCCAGCTATAACTCTTGCCCTGCAGTATATACCTCTTCCTTTCCATCGCTAAAGTAAACGTAACCGAATTGTGGTCACTATCACCAAAGTGCTCACCTACCTCCAAATCTAACACCTGGCCTGGTTCATTACCCAGTACCAAATCCAATGTGGCCTCGCCTCTTGTCGGCCTATCTACATACTGTGTCAGGAAACCCTCCTGCACACATTGGACAAAAACTGACCCATCTGAAGTACTCGAACTATAGCGTTTCCAGTCAATATTTGGAAAGTTAAAGTCCCCCATAACAACTACCCTGTTACTTTTGCTCCTATCCAGAATCATCTTTGCAATCCTTTCCTCTACATCTCTGGAACTTTTCGGAGGCCTATAGAAAACTCCCAACAGGGTGACCTCTCCTTTCCTGTTTCTAACCTCAGCCCGTACTAGCTCAGTAGACGAGTCCTCATCAAACGTCCTTGAGTAACAATGCCACACCTCCCCCTCTTTTACCACCTTCCCTGATCTTACTGAAACATCTAAACCCCGGAACCTGCAACAACCATTCCTGTCCCTGCTCTATCCATGTCTCCGAAATGACCACAACATCGAAGTCCCAGGTACCAACCCATGCTGCAAGTTCACCCACCTTATTCCGGATGCTCCTGGCGTTGAAGTAGTCACACTTCAAACCACCTTCCTGCCTGCTGGTACACTCCTGTGACCTTGAAACCTTATTCATGACCTCACTACTGTCAACCTCCTGTACACTGGAGCTACAATTCAGGTTCCCATCCCCCTGCTGAATTAGTTTAAACCCTCCTGAAGAGCATTAGCAAATTTCCCCACCAGGATATTGGTACCCCTCTGGTTCAGCTGTATTCTATCCCATTTGTAGAGGTCCCACCTACCCCAGAATGAGCCCCAATTATCCAGGTATCTGAATCCCTCCTTCCTGCACCATCCCTGTAGCCACGTGTTCAACTGCTCTTTCTCCCTATTCCTCGCCTCACTAGCATGTGGCACGGGTAACAAACCAGAGATAACAACTCTGTTTGTTCTAGCTCTAAGCTTCTGCCTTACATCCCCATCCCTTTTCCTACCAATGTCGTTGGTGCCTATGTGGACCACGACTTGGGGCTGCTCCCCCTCCCCCTTAAGGATCCCAAAAACACAATCCGAGACATCACGGACCCTGGCACCTGGGAGGCAACATACCAACCGCGAGTCTCTCTCGTTCCCACAGAATCTCCTATCTGTCCCCCTAACTATGGAGTCCGCAATGACTAATGCTCTCCTCTTCCCCCCTTCCCTTCTGAGCAACAGGGACAGACTCTGTGCCAGAGACGCTTACCCCTGGTAAGTCGTCCCCCACAACAGTATCCAAAACTGTATACTTGTTATTGAGGGGAACGGCCACAGGGGATCCCTGCACTGTCTGCCTGTTCCCTTTCCGTCCCCCGACGCGGTTTCCGAGGAGCTGGAGTTGGGTGCACTTCCCGCAGATGAAGTCAGTGGAGACACTAGTGGTGACCCTTACCTCCCACATTCTACAGGAGGAGCATGCAACTGCCCTAACAGCCATTCCCACTGTTCTGAATTCCCAAACAGACTATTAAAAAAAGAACTAGTAACCTTACCAAATCAGCGCTCAGAACCTTTTTTTTTGGTTAGAGCTGGAGGATGGGTGGGAGACACTACCTAGATAGTGTTTCGGGTAAAGCAACCGCCCAAATATATTACCTCACTTACTCAGCCGTCCCGTGTCCGCTCCTGCTTAGCGTGCGCTCCGCCTATTCACGAGGTAAGTTTTTTAAAGGATTAACTTACCTTCCCAGGGTGCCCTCGCGCTTCCTCCCGGACTCCCACCACTGAAACAACTGAAAGGCCGCAGTCACGCGAGGTAAGACTTTTATAATCGAAAAGCTTACCTTCCCAGGGTGCCCTTGCGCTTCCTCCCGGTTACAAGCTGGAGGACCAGTCCCATTGTTACATTTTCATAGTATCATAGACTCCCTACAGTGTGGAAACAGGCCCTTTCGCCCAACAAGTCCACACTGACATACAGAGCATCCCTTAATCTACACACCCCTGAACACTACAGGCAATTTAGCATGGCCAATCCACCTAGCCTGCACATCTTTGGATTGTGGGAGGAAACCAGAGCACCTGGAGGAAACCCACGCAGACATGGGGAGAATGTGCAAACTCCACACAGACAATTGCCCAAGGGTGTAATCGAACCCGGGTTCCTGGTGCTGTGAGGCAGCAGTGCTAACCACTGAGCCACCGTGCCACCCCAGCTCGACTGTTCCTTCAATTTAATTGCCTCAAAGCAGGAGGTCACTACCTTTCTCAAAGAGGTCTTTAGTAAGGTTCCTTCAAGAATGCTCCAGGATTTCCTGGAAAGAAAAACTGGATTTCCCTGCTTGCAATGTAATTGTGAATTAGTGATGACGGAAGCCTCACCACCAGCTGGCTGGTTCCATTTGGATCAACCAACTGATTGATCTCAAATAGCATGCATCATGGAGTTCTACATTTCAGATCTTTGCACCATGCTGAGCTTGACCGCTCGGAGAAAATCATTTTTAACTTATAGACATATGGTGGTGGTGCTGAGGGAGCAGATGGTTTTGCTTTGTGAAATTGTATTACCTGTATATTGGGTGCAAAGTTGATACATATATTCATTTTGAGTTGGGGGAGAAGCAGTGGTGCTTTTCTAACTACATAACACTACTCAACATCTCTGCTGTCCCCTCTGGCACCCCAGCAAAAATTAATAATTTGCAACAGGTTTGAGAGACTCCACGTGCTTTAATCATAGACTCCCTACAGTGTGGAATCAGGCCATTCGGCCCAATACGTCCACACCACCCCTCCAAAGACTAAGCCACCCAGACCCATCCCCCTACAACTTTACATTTCCCATGGCTAATCCACCTTACTTACACCCTCCTGGGCACTATGGGCAGTTTAGCATGGCCAATCCACTTAACCTGCACATCTTTGGACTGTGGGAGGAAACCAGAACACCCAGAGGAAACCCACGCAGACAGCGGGAGAATGTCCAAACTCCACACAGACAGTTACTTGAGGACGGAATCGAACCCAGATTCCTGGTGCTGTGAGGCAGCAGGGCTAACCGCTGAGCCACCATGCTGCCCAATGGAGCCTGTATGCATTTCCTTCTCTGAAATGTTTACCTTTTGGCTAAAAATGCTCCAAATGAGTCTTAGCCTTGCAGTTTGGTTGCACTTTGCCAATTAGAACAGAAGTCAGCTGTATAAATGCTTTTAATATAATACACACAACCTGCTGTTTTATTGTATCTACAGCAGATCACCTGAGTATGCTATGTAACTTTAGGAGTTCAACTGTCTGGACCTGTGCGTGGTGCTTCAACCCACAAGCTGATAAATGCTTCAGTACAGGTAAAGTCAATAAATTATTAGTGAACTAGATCCTCTTAGTAATCATTTAACTTTGTTCAAATCACTGGGGCTTTGCATCTTAAGAAGATTGTGTTTGAAAATTAAAAGAAAGTTGACTAAGGCTTCCAGAACAATGTTTGTATTCAGTTGGTGATTTACTGAACTTCACTTTCAGCAAAGACCTATGTTTAATTCATTCTGTGCTGAGTTGCCGTGAAGCAGGCCATTAGAGGTACTGAAGTTCTGAAGAAGGGTCACCGGACCCAAAACGTTAACTCTGTTTTCTCCTCCACAGATGCTGCCAGACCTGCTGAGCTTTTCCAGCAACTTTGTTTTTGTTCCAGTAGAGGTACTGTACTTGACCTCTAAATACTTTATTGTTCACATCCCACTCTGCTGGTTCTACATGTGGAAATCTAGGAAGGATAGGATTCAGCTCAGCTGTGAAGCCCTCACAGTAACATAACCTAACATGGGAAAGCAAGGTAATGAGATACTGAAAGCCTTAACTGCATCTGTGGAACTGTGCTTAAACATCAGTTGGGTCCTTTAATAGAGAGGAAGAATGATTGAGGTAAGTTGTTAAATAGTGAGAGAAATTTGTTTTAATTTGACTGTACAGTGAATGTTGGTCAGTTTTGGACTTAGCTTGATGCAGTGGAGAGAAAGGCTTGAATGTCCTGGGTCATCTGACATGGATAGAATTGTTTGAAGACTAGCAGTGAGTATTTCCCCAGGCCCCTTGCTGACATGCCCCATCTTCCCACTTTCAACTAACGCCAGCAGAAAAGCAATTCAATTAATGTATCTTATCTGCTGTTTGTGGGACCTTTACGTCATAGAGTTATGTATCACAGAAATATGCCCTTCAGTCCAACTCGTCCATCTTGACCAAGTTTCCCAAACTGAACTAGTCCCATTTGTTAGCTTTTGGCCCATATCCCTCTAAACCTTTCCTAATTGTGTACCTGTCCAAATGCCTTTTAAATGTTGTAACTGTATCTGCATCTACCACTTCCTCTGGCAGTTCATTCCACATATGAACCACCCTGTGTGCAGAAAATGTTGCCCTTCAGGTTCCTTTTAATCCTTTTTCCTCTCACCTTAACCATATGCCCTCCAGATTTGAAATCCCCTACCCTAGGGAAAAGACCTTTGCTATTCACCTTATCTATGCCCTTCATGATTTTATAAACCTCTATAAGGTCACCCCTCAACCTTCTACACTCCAGTGAAAAATGTCCCAGCCTATCCATCCTCTCATTTTTATACCTCAAACCTTCCAGTCCTCATAGCATCCTTGTAAATCTTTTTTGCATGCTCTGCTATTTAATAATATGCTTCCAAAGCAGGTTGACCAGAATTGTACACTCTACTCCAAAAGTGGCCTCACCAATGTTCTGTACAACTATTCTTAGAAGGAGAGGTTAAACAAGCTGTTTGATAGGTAAAGGAGTGAAGGGCTTTGGCTAGAAACGGCAGTGAAGACCATAAAAAGGCAAGTCACAATCTTTATTATATGTGTAGCTCTGAAGGGTAAAATAGATTAACATCAAAGACTAATAGGTTATGATTCACTTTGAGACATCTTGAAGATTTATCTTTTTTTCTTGTTCTTAAAGTATTGAAGTGAAATAGAGTCCATATTAACCCACGAGTTGTGAAATAATGCTAGTGTTCAGCTGGAAGGAAGTTATCTATCCATCCACCCGGGCTGCTACAGTTGAGCTTAACCTAGCTTGGTTTTGTTGAGTTTTGAAAAATAAAATTGGGATCAAACCTGCACAACAGCCCATCGAGCATTGGACCACCAAGACCAATTTCTCCAATCATTAGTCCACTCATTAATAGTGTAATGACAGAATGATGCAGCTTACAAACTGTGCCACAATTTCAGTAGCTTCTCATTGGTATGAAATACACTGCATTTCTTCTTGTCACCCAAACCTGATGTAGCAACAATCTTATCAATAAAGACTTAAAAACATGTTATTTTTGTTTTGGAAGACAGGCTGCCGAATTTTCACCAGGTAAGTCACAATTACATCTGTTGCATTGTGTTTCCTAGGTTTGTTGTACCGTGTCTTTGTGACTGATGCCGTAACAGGTCAAAAACAGATATTCAACACAAATAGCAGTGTTCTTGCTCAGCAGTTTGCACACAGGGTAAGTAAGGATCTAAAATACTAAGGTTATCCTGAATGAAAGGGAATTATGAAACAGACCAGCCAGTTTTTATGAAGTGAAACCATATCTTAATATTATTTTAAAATTGTCTTATTGTGATAAAGGCTATGCTCTGGAAATTTGGTAGTTTTCTTTAGTCCTAGCATTTGTTTGTGTGGAATTGCTCATTCCCAGTTTTTATACGGCACGAAATCCTTTTGTTATTTTCTCTCCCACTGACAGCTGTAGCATTTTTTTTGGTGTTGAAGTGAGAGCAACACTGGCTAGTCTAGTATTTGTCATCCATCTCTCTTTTCTGAGATGTTGCTGAGCTATTTTCTGGATCTGCTGTAGCCATTGTAGGTGTAGGTACACTCACAGGGGTCTCGGGGAATTGCAGTTAATATAGTTCCAAGTCCGGGTGATGTGTGTTTTTTTTTTGGGGTGCTTGCCTGTGTCAGCACCTTTTGTTCTAGCCAGTAGAGAATCTTTGTGGGTTTAGAAGTTGCAGCTGAAGAAGACTCCGGGATTGCGTGTAAGCTTCTTGATTAGAAGCTAATTGAGGCATTTTTTAATTTGTTTATCCGGTGAACACCGATCTCTTTGATGGAGTGTGACCTTCATCTATCATTACTGAGAAGATACAGTATCTGATCAATCATTTTATTTGTGGCATCTTGCTTTAGCTACATTGTTCTCTATATGATATTGTCAGTTCTTTTAGCATTCAAGTTCTGAGGGTATTCTTCTGTCTAATCACGAATCAAAATGTTGGCAGTTTTTCCACACTTTTTGTCTTGATCCGGTGTGACTGCATTGAAAACAGAATTAATATCACCTATAATAATTTAGCCAAATGGAGCTTCATCAGACATTTGGACAAATGTTTTTAGGATTTATTTTACTGGTTGATAAGAATTCAAAGTCACATCTGCAAATGTACCAAGAATTCTGAGTATGCGGTGTTTCTGTAGGCCCCTGTGTTGTATAATGGCTGTCGATCGGGGGAGATTTTCAGCCTAGACATCAGGCAACGAATGACAAAAGCACTGAGCTGGGCAGGTACAATAATCTCCCAAAACTCTGCTGTGACCTCCATCCGGCTCTTGCAGGATGAAAATTACCTCATGGCTGCAGACATGATTGGAAAGGTAAGCTACCAGGATGTGTTCAAGGATTTACGATCATTTATGGATGACGTGCTTGGCTGTAGTATCTATAAAAATGTTTATGCTGTGTATGTTAGCTATTGGGTTTTTGCTGTCATTCTTTTCAATCACAATCACATCTGTTTATTCAGTTTGATACAGTCCCTTCAAATCTTGTCTCTATCAGTTGTTTGTGTCTGAGCCCTCCAAATGCATTCATACTTAACCTTAAGTCAGTATTTATTCTCTCTCATTTTCTGTCCTTCCTTACTGAGGACTGGTTTCAGCTTCAAGGCTATACTTGTCCAGATTGACCATTATCCATGGGTTAGTTGAACACCCTTGCCTCAGTGTGACATCACAGCCACAGATCCCTCCTCATATGCTTTCCACAAGAGTCACAAGATAGTCAATGTTGGCTAGATGTTGCTCATTCTGATACTTGGATGCACAAGCAGAACAGCCAGTCAAGACCAACAAAGCTCTCAAGAAACTAAAGTCCAAACATCACTATTTATGTTAGAAAACCAAACTAAATATGTTCGTAGAATGTGAAAAGGCAGTGTAGAACCACCATCTTGAACTGCTGCAGTCCATGTGCTTTACTCTCCTGGCTATTTGGCTGCCATATTTCTGAAAGGCAAAATAAAATAAGTATGTTTATTCCAATGCCTTTTCCCAATGCTCAGTTACTTGGATCTTTTCACTCCCAGTAATTTGGCATCATTCTGGAGGAGACTCTTGTTGCATACACAGACATCAACAGCTGGAGACAGTGGCAGATCTATGAGGCTGACAGCAATGTGGACAGCAGATTCAGAAAGGTGGTCACTGGCAGCATAGAGTCAGAGAGGGAATGAGTGACTGCCAAGGAATGGTTGAGAGAATCTGGCAGGTAATGCAGGAGTCCCTTTAGGTTCCTCAGAGGAATGCAGTAAGAGCCAAGATCATAGAGCCATGGGAAGCACAGCTGCAAAGATGAGAAAGAAGAAAAGAGGAAGAGCAATGTTAATAGTCAGGGATCAGGTAGGCCTTTCTATGGCTGCGGACGTGACTCCAAGAATGGTGTCTTGCCTCCTTATTGCCAGTTTAAAGGATGTTTACAGAGTGGCTGCAGGATATTCTTTTGAAAGGGTGAAGAAAAGCCAGAGGTGATGGTCCATTTTGGTACCAATGACATATATAGGATGGGAGACGTGGTGCTGAAAGCAGATTTTGGGCCACTAGGAAAGAGATTGAAGAAAAGGACTTCTAAAAGAGTCATCTCAGGATCTCCCCCAGCCCCAGTTGTTCATGAGCAGAGAAATGGGGGAATTGAGAGATACAACACATGGCTGAAAACTGGTGGAGGAAGCAGGGCATCCTGTTTCTGAGGTATTGGGCATGGTTCTCGGGCATGTGAGAGCTGTACATAATGGAGAGGTTGCATCTTGGCAGGACTGGAATTAACTAGTTTGCAGGGAATTTTTGTGTTGATTGGCAGAAGAGATCTCAGATTTAAGGGAAGTAAAACTGGAAAAGGGAGCTGGAAAGCAAAAAATTGTCAGAAGACTAATGTTTAAAAAGAAGCATTAAAGGCACTAAATCTAAAGCCAGAGATAGTGGGAACTGCCAATGCTGGAGAATCTGAGATAACAAGGTGTACAGCTGGATGAACACAGCAGGCCAAGCAGCATCAGAGGAGCAGGAAAGCTGACGTTTCGGGTCTGGACCCTTCTTCAGAAATGGGGGAGGAGAAGGGGATTCTGAAATAAATAGAGGGAGGGGGAGGCGGATGGAAGATGGATAAAGGAGCAGATAGGTGGAGAGGAGACAGACAGGTCAAAGAGGTGGGGATGGAGCCAGTAAAGGTGAGTGTAGGTGGGGAGTTAGGGTGGGGGTAGGTCAGTCCAGGGAGGATGGACAGGTCAAGGAGGCGGGGTGAGGCTGGTAGGTAGGAGGTGGGGGAGGGGCTTGAGGTGGGAGGAATGGATAGGTGGGAGAAAGGACGGACAGGTTAGGGAGGCGGGGACGAGCTGGGCTGGTTTTGGGATGCGGTCAGGGGAGGGAGATTTTGAAGCTTGTGAAGTCCACATTGATACATTGGGCTGCAGGGTTCCCAAGCGGAATATGAGGTGCTGTTCCTGCAACCTTGGAATGGCATCATTGTGGCATTGGAGGAGGCCCAAGATGGACATGTCATCCAAGGAGTGGGAGGGGGAGTTGAAGTGGTTCACGACTGGGAGGTGCAGTCGTTTGTCGTGAACCGAGCGTAGGTGTTCCACAAAGCGGTCTACAAGCCTCCGCTTGGTTTCCCCGATGTAGAGGAGGCCACATTGGGAACAGTGGATACAGTAAACCACATTTGCAGATGTGCAGGTGAACATCTGTTTGATGTGGAAGGTTTTCTTGGGGCCTGGGATGGGGGTGAGGGGGGAAGTGTAGGGGCAAGTGTAGCACTTCCTGTGGTTGCAGGGAAAAGTGCCGGAGGTGGTGGAGCTGCTGGAGAGTGTGGAGTGGACAAGGGAGTCACGGAGAGAGTGGTCCCTCCGGAAGGCAGATAAGGGTGAGGAGGGAAAAATATCTTTGGCAGTGGGGTCAGATTGCAGATGGCGGAAGTGCCAGAGGATGATGCGTTGGATCCGGAAGTTGGTGGGGTGGTACGTGAGGGCGAGGGGGATTCTGTTTCGGTTGTTATTGTGGGGAGGGGGTGTGAGGGATGAGTCGCAGGAAATGCGAGAGACACAGTCGAGGGCGTTTTCAACCACTGTGGAGGGGAAGGTGCGGTCCTTGAAAAACGAGGATATCTGGGATGTCCGGGAGTGGAATGCCTTATCCCAGGAGCAGATGCGGTGGAGGAGAAGGATTTGAGAATAGGGGATGGCATTTTTGCAGGAAGGTGGATGAGAGGAGGTGTACTCTAAGTAGCTGTGGGAGTCAGTAGGCTTGAAATGGATATCGGTTTCCAGGTGGTTGCCAGAGATGGAGACAGAGAGGTCCAGGAAGGAGAGAGAGGTATCGGAGATGGTCCAGGTGAACTTAAGGTTGGAGTGGAAGGTGTTAGTGAAGTGGATGAACTGTTCGAGCTCCTCATGGGAGTACGAGGTGGCGCCAATACAGTCATCGATGTAACGGAGGAAGAGGTGGGATAGGGCCAGTGTAGCTTCAGAAGAGAGATTGTTCCATGTATTCTACAAAGAGGCAGGCATAGCTTGGGCCCATGCGGGTACGCATGGCCACCCCCTTTGTCTGTAGGAAGTGGAAGGAATTGAAGGAGAAGTTGTTAAGGGTGAGGACGAGTTCGGCTAAGCGGATGAGGGTGTCAGTGGAGGGGGACTGGTCGGGCCTGCGGGACAGGAAGAAGCGGAGGGCCTTTAGGCCTTCTGCATGGGGAATGCAAGTGTATAGGGACTGGACGTCCATGCTAAAGATGAGGTGTTTACTGTTTGACTGTATTTGCGCCGCCTCATACTCCCACGAGGAGCTCGAACAGTTCATCCATTTCACTAACACCCATTCCCCTCTCTCTCTTTCCTTCCTGGACCTCTCTGTTTCCATCTCTGGCAACCACCTGGAAACCGATATCCATTTGAAGCCTACCGACTGCCACAGCTACCTAGAATACACCTCCTCTCACCCACCTTCCTGCAAAAATGCCATTCCCTATTCCCAATTCCTTCTCCGCCACATCTGCTCCCAAGATGAGGCATTCCACTCCCGGACATCCCAGATGTCCTCGTTTTTCAAGGACTGCAACTTCCCCTCCACAGTGGTCGAAAACGCCCTCGACTGTGTCTCTCGCATTTCCTGCAACTCATCCCTCACAACCCCGCCCCGCAATAACAACCAAAACAGAATCCCCCTCGTCCTCCACGTACCACCCCACCAACCTCCGGATCCAACGCATCATCCTCTGGTACTTTCGCCATCAGCAATCTGACCCCACTTCCAAAGAAATTTTTCCCTCCCCACCCTTATCTGCCTTCTGGAGGGACCACTCTCTCCGTGACTCTGCTCCAGACACCCCACCAGCCCTGGCACTTTTCCCTGCAACTGCAGGAAGTGCTACACTTGCCCCTACACCTCCCCCTCACCCGCATCCCAGGCCCCAAGAAAACCTTCCACATCAAACAGATAACAAGGTGCAGAGCTGGATGAACACAGCAGGCCAAGCAGCATCAAAGGAGCAGGAAAGCTGACATTTTGGGCCTAGACCATTCTGAAGATATGGAGGTGTCAGTGTTGGACTCAGTTGCACAAGGTCAAAAATCACACAACACCAGGTTACAGTCCAACAGGTTTATTTGAAAACACTAGCTTTCAGAGCGTTGCTCCTTTAGTGTAGTGAGAGAGGCACCAAGACACAGAATTTATAAGTAAAAGTTCAAAGGATCATACTGCTAATGCAAATGTATTGAATAAATCTACAATGGCTGGCTGACTCCCTCCTGCTAAATCTTTGGTTAGTTAAAAAGGAGATACAGGTTTTGACTGATTAAAATGCAAATCCCAGAATTTCTTTCAAGTCACTACTCCAAGACGACAAAAGGTCTTTTCAGCATATACAAGAAGTGACATCTCAGGTCAGCCAATGCATTTTAGATGTGAGCCCTTGATTAGAATCTGTCTGTGTTTTAACCTGGAGTCAGACTGGTTTTATTTCCAAAGCACGAATTTTTAAAACACCATATTGACTGGCTGTGTCTACAAATTGTGTGCTTTTCGAACATTCGCATCAGTTGTATGATCCTTTGAACTTTTACTTATACATTCTGTGTCTTGATGCCTCTCTCACTATACCTGATGAAGGAGCAACGTTTCGAAAGTTAGTGTTTTCAAATAAACCTGTTGGACTATAACCTGGTGTCAGATCACTTTACTGATGATTGAGAGTAGACTGATGTGGCGGTAATTGGCTGGGTTCGACTTTCCTGCTTTACGTGTACAAGACATACCTGGGCAATTTTCCACATCATTGTATAGATGCCAGTGTTGTAACCATACTGGAAGAGCTTGGATAGGGACGTAGCAAGTTTTGGTGCACAAGTCTTCGATACTATTTCCAGAATGTTGTCAGGCCCATTGTCTTTATTGTATCCAGTGTGTTCAGCAATTTGTTAATATCACATGGAATGAATTGATTTTGCTGAAGATTGGCTTCTATGAAGCTGGAGACCTCTGGAGGAGGCCAAAATAGATCATCCGCTCATTACTTCTAACTAAAGATTACTGCAAAATCTTCAACCTTATCTTCTGCACCGACGTATTGAGCTCTTCCATCATTGAGGATGGAGGTATTTGTAGAGCCTTCTCCTCCAGTGAATTGTTTAATTGTCTGCCATCATTCACAACTGGGTGCTGCAGGAGCGCAGAGCTTTGATCTGATCCGCTAGTTGTAGAATAACTTAACTCTGTCTATTAGTTGCTGCTCCCCCTGTTTGGCATTTTTTTGCTTTATTTCACAGGATGAGTTTCACTGGCAAGATAAGCATCTTTTACACATCCCTAACTGCCTTTGAAGTGAGGGCCTTGGACTATTTCAGAGGCTATTTAAGAGTGAACTAAACTGCTGTGCATCTGAAATCCAGTTAAGGACAGCAGAGTTCCAACTCTAACGGGCATTAATATGCCTGTTTTGTAGCTTCGCCAGGATGGGATCTCAAATTTAGATATTCCTTGGGTTGCTCCTGGCGTGCCTTCTTGCACTCTTCGTTGAACGAGCTTGATTCCCTGGTTTGTTGGTAATGGTTGAGTGAGGTTATGTCGAGCCATGATGTTGCAGATTACAAGTCTGTTGTTCTTGATGGCCCACAGCACCTCATGGATGCCCAGTCTTGAGTTGCTAGATCTTGATTTTTATTGATTTGATTTGATTTGATTTATTGTCACAAGTACCAAGATACACTAAACAGTATTGTTTTTGATGCTATCTAGGCAAATCATACCTTATGTAAGTACATCAGGGTGAGCAGAATGCAGAATATAGTGTTACAGAAACAGAGTAGGTGCAGAGAAAGATCAATTTTAATATGAGAGTTCATTCAAAAGTCTGATAACAGTGGGGAAGAAGCAGTTCTTGAGTCTGTTGTTAAGTGTTTTCAAACTTTTATATCTTCTGCCTGATGAAAGAGAGTGGTGAGAGTATAATGGGGGTGGGAGGGGTCTTTTGATTCTGTATTGGCTGCTTTCCCAAGGCATCAGGAAATATAGACAGAATCAATGGGAAGGAAGGTTGGTTTGTGTGATGGACTGGACTACATTCACAACTGTCTGTAATTACTTGCGATGTTGGGCAGAGCAGTTGCCGGACGAAGCTGTGATGCATCCAAATAGGATGCTTTCTTATGCTGCATCTATAAAAATTGGTAAGAGTCATTGTGGACATGATGAATTTCCTTAGTTTTCTGAGGATGTAGGTGGGTCCTTGACCACAGTGTCGACATGGACAGACCAGGACAGATTGTCGGTGATATTTTCTCCTAGGAACTTGAAGCTTTCTACCATCTCTTTAGTACCATTGAATCAAAAAGGGGCATGTCCTCCACTCCACTTCCTGAAATCAATGACTAGTTTCTTTGACATTGAGGCTGAGATTGTTATCTTTACACCATACCACTAAGCATTCTATCTTTTCCTTGTTGTTTAAAGTCCAACTCACTATGGTGGTGTCATTAGCAAACTTAAATCTCCCACTTCACTGGCCACAGGTGAAGTACCAGATGATTGGAGGATAGCTAATGTGGTTCTTTACTTCAAGAAGGACAGCAGGGATAGGCCAGGTAATTATACACCAATTAGTCTGATGTCAGAAATAGGGAAATTATTGGAAAAAGTTCTAAGGGATAGCAACTCAAGACTGGGCATCCATGAGGTGCTGTGGGCCATCAAGAGCAACAGACTTGTAATCTACAAGACCATGGCTCGACATAACCTCACTCCACCATTACCAACAAATCAACATTTGGAAAGGCAAAGGTTGATCAAGGATAGTCAGCACAGATTTGATCGAGAGAGATCCGGTCTGACTGATTTCATTGGGTTTTTTAAAAATATCACTAAATATATCGATGAAGTTAGTGCAACTGATGTAGTTTACATGGACTTCAGTAAGGTCTTTGACAAGGTCCTAGATGGAAGGCTGGTCCAAAAAGTCAACCATGGGATTCAAGACAAGTTAACAAACTGGATCCACAATTGGCTCACAAATAAGAGATAAAAGGGGATTGGTGCTGGGACCTATACTATTTGTTATGTGCATTAACAACTTGGATGTGAATGTAGAAGTAAGTTTGCAGATGATATGAAAATTGGTGATGTTGATAATGAGGAGAATGGTCTCGTGCTACAGTGCTGATATTGATCAGCTGATAAACTGGACAGAGCATTGACAGATGGAATCTAGTCCTGATTAGTGTGAGGTGATGCATTTTGGGAGGTCTGTACATGATGAATAGTAGGTCCGTAGGTTATACAAAAAGCAATTGGGTATACAAGTTCACAAATTCCTGAAGATATCAGCACAAGTAGATGGTTGTGGAAAAAAGTCCTGTCTTCGTTTGCCAGGGCATAGAATACAGGAGCAAGGAAGTCTTGTTGCAAGTTTATAGTGCATTGGTTGAGCTACACATGGAATGCTGTGTGAAGTTCTGGATGCCACACTATTGGAAGGATGTGATTGCACTGGAAAGGATACAGAGGAGATTCATCAGGAAATATGGAATGCACTGCCTGAGAGGGTGGTGGAGGCAGGTACTCTCAACATTTAAGAAGCAACTGGACAAGCACTTAAAATAATAGGACATGATAAGCTATGACCAAATGCAGGTAAATGGGATTAGTACTATGGTGTTTGTTGGTCAGCATAAACATCTGGGGCTGAAGGGCCTGTTTCTTTATGACTCTACACCATTTACCACAGTGGTAGTGTCATGCAACACAATGGATGGTATCCTCAATGTGCAGATGGGATTTTGTCTCCAAAAGGATGCGAGGTGGTCAATCCTATCAACACTATCACAGATAAACCTATAACGGATAGATTAGTGAAAATAAGACCAAATATGTTTTTCTGTTGCTGGTTTCCTGACCTTGTGCTCACAGCTATGTCCTTTAGGTCTCAACCAGTTGCCAAACAATCACAAAGAGAAGCCTTTGGACAAATTTTATTCCTTAAACTTTAACAAACAAATTGCATCGAACATAAACATGAAAGTACGGACAAATCGTAGTCAACATACATGACAAATTCCATGTCAGATTGCAGCTACAAGAACAAATCTCATGGATTGACCCGGCAGTCTGCTCAGCAGATATCACACAAATTTAACCATTGTGTTCTTCACAGTCTGATCTTCCTTGGGTAGATATCCTATTCCTTTTCTACAAACACTGAACTGCCATTTTCATAACTTAAGTTCCATGGGTGCAATCTTGAACAAAATATTAATACACTTCTCCAGAATTAGCTCCACTTTGCTTACTGAGATTGTGGTGGTATGGATCCACTTTTATCTGAATTATCAGTGATAACTCTGTATGGTTGGGTATTGTCAATCAGTTACTTGATTTAACATAAACAACTGTAGCATTGGCAATTACAGTCACCTGGATTCTTCCTTCAGTTTCTTCTAAATACCTGCAACTGCACCACAGGGTAAGCTCAAATGGCTCTGTCTTCTGGTTTCAAGCGGTTTAATTTCCCCTTCAGTTAGGTGCTGACTCCAAAAAAAACAAGCTTTGAAACCATGGTCAGTGTTATCCAACAGAATACGCGACAAGTCATCTGTTCAGAAAACAGCTGTCTCACACAGTCAATCACAGTACACGCAAAGTCATCTGTATTTTTTGCTCCTATTTTCTGCAATAATTCTTTCAACCAAATTCCTTGCAACTTGCATAATGTGCTGGTGTTTCAAGTAAATATACAAAATATATTTTAGAATAGAATAGAATCCCTACAGTGTGGAAACAGGCCCTTCGGCCCAACTAGTCCACACCAAACCTCAAAGCATCCCAGCCAGACCCACCCCCCTAATCTACACATCCCTGAACACTATGGGCAATTTAGCATGGCCAATCCACCTAGCATGCACATCTTTGGACTGTGGGAGGAAACTGGAGCAAACTCCACACAGACAGTTGCCTGAGGGTGGGATTGAACCCAGGTCCCTGGCGCTGTGAGGCAGCAGTGCTAACCACTGAGCCACCGTGCTGCCCAAGAGATTATTGTATTGACAGAGTTGGAGTTAAACTATGCTTCATTGTATTGAGTCCAGCACTTATGCTGTTTGTTTGCTTTCCTGCTTGAACTTTATAATCTTGCGCCATACTTTGTTTCAAATGTGCAGTGTACTTTTAATAGATTTGAACTTAATATTGTATGGTCTGAAAATCCTGATGTTGGAATGTATTTGACCGAGCCCTAACGTGGTTATATGTTTCACTGTATAAATGGCTAGCACAAGCCATAATTTGATGTATTGTTTTTTTCAGATTAAACTGTGGGACCTGAGGACTACAAGATGTGTTCAACAGTATGAGGGTCATCATAATGAGTGTGCTTATCTCCCAATCCATCCTCATGAAGAAGAGGGTATTCTTTTAGCTGGTAAGTGCTGCCTTTTGCCTTTTTTCACCCCTGTGATGTTGGAGAGCTTTTTCAAGGTTCAGCTGAATGCTGGAAAGTCTGCACATATGGAGTGTGCTCTGCAAACTAAAGCTTCCTCTGTCAGGTTCCAAAGTTCTGTGTCTAAATTTTACAGGTAGCTAATATTCAGAGGTTCCTGAAATAACCTGTGTGTGAATTTTAAATACAAATGAGAAACGGACGAAAGGATAAGACACTATCCATATTGCTGTGTTGAAAGAATTAGAAAATTAGTTTGTGGCAGCGGTAAAACAAGGTTGGCACAGCAGCTTTTTGTACTAAAGACTAATGGACAGCAGTAAAAAAAGTTTGACAGCAACTGAAATAAGGAGATATTAATGTTGATGATTAAAAGCTTGGTCAAAGTGAAAGATTTGAAGGACTGTTTTAAGGGAAGAAAGTGAGATAAAGAGGAGTAACAAGGGGCCCAACTAATAGAAGGCATGGCAACCAGTGGTGAAGGGATAAAAACTGAGAATGCACTAAAGTCTAGAATTGGAGGAGCACAGAACTATGAAACTTGAACAGATAGGAAGGGGCAAGATCAAGGAAGGATTTGAAAGCAAGGATGAGAATTTTAAAATGAAGACATCTCTTAACTGAGAGTCCATGTAAGTCGACAAACACAGAGGTGAGTGGTCAAGTTAGGACCTGAGCAGCAGTGTTTTGAATGACCTCAAGTTGACAGATGATAGAATGTGGGAGACCAGTCAGAAGCAAGATGTGACTGGCAGTTTTTTAAAAAATGATGCTTTTGTAAGGGGCTGATTGGAAGTCGATGGTCTTGGTGATTGCACAAAAATGTTGAGAAATGGTCATTTTTATAGGGAGTGAATTGAATTTTGGGGCTGGACTAGAAATTTGGGGAATTATTGTGTTTCTAGCTTTGATTCTTCATGATGTAAAAGTTGAGATTGCATCACAGATTTGCATCAATTATTCGAAATGTAGATGAGTTATGTCTCCATGCACATTCATACAAGGTGCAGCTATCAGTAAGACAGGCTGTGAGACTGAATTTGACAAGGCTGTCTATGTCAACAGTAATGTGTTGGTGTTACTAAATATATAGGCAAACTCTCCTTTAGGAACTGCCGATGCTGGAGAATCTGAGATAACAAGGTGTAGAGCTGGATGAACACAGCAGGCCAAGCAGCATCCGAGGAGCAGGAAAGCTGACGTTTCGGGTCTGGACCCTTCTTCAGAAATGGGGGAGGGGAAGCGGATTCTGAAATAAATAGAGAGAGGGGGAGGCGGATGGAAGATGGATAAAGGAGCAAATAAGTGGAGAGGAGACAGACAGGTCAAAGAGGCGGGGAAGGAGCCAGTAAAGGTGAGTGTAGGTGGGGAGTTAGGGTGGGGGTAGGTCAGTCCAGGAAGGATGGACAGGTCAAGGAGGCGGGATGAGGCTGGTAGGTAGGAGGTGGGGGTGGGGCTTGAGGTGGAAGGAGTGGATAGGTGGGAGGAAGGACGGACCGGTTAGGGAGGCGGGGACGAGCTGGGCTGGTGTTGGGATGCGGTTGGGGGAGGGGAGATTTTGAAGCCTGTGAAGTCCACATTGATACCATTGAGCTGCAGGGTTCCCAAGTGAAATATGAGGTGCTGTTCCTGCAACCTTCGGGTGGCATCGTTGTGGCACTGGAGGAGACCCAGGATGGACATGTCGTCCAAGGAGTGGGAGGGGGAATTGAAATGGTTCGCGACTGGGAGGTGCAGTCATTTGTTGCAAACCGAGCATAGGTGTTCCACAAAGTGGTCTCCAAACCTCCACTTGGTTTCCCCAATGTAGAGGAGGCCATATGGGGAACAGCATATACAGTATACCACATTAGCAGATGTGCATGTGAACATCTGCTTGATGTGGAAGGTCTTCTTGGGGCCTGGGATGGGGGTGAGAGGGGAGGCATAGGGACAGATGTAGCACTTCCTGCAGTTGCAGGGAAAAGTGCCAGGGGTGGTGGGGCTGGTGGGGAGTGTGGAGCGGACAAGGGAGTCACGGAGAGAGTAGTCCTTCCGGAAGGCAGATAAGGGTGGGGAGGGAAAAATATCTTTGGTAGTGGGGTCAGATTGCAGATGGCGGAAGTGCCGGAGGATGATGCGTTAGATCTGGAGGTTGGTGGGGTGGTACGTGAGGATGAGGGGGATTCTATTTTGGTGGTTGTTGCGGGGTGGGGGTGTGAGGAATGAGTTGCGGGAAATGCAAGAGACACAGTCGAGGGCATTTTTGACCACTGTGGAGGGGAAGTTGCAGTCCTCGAGAAACGAGGACATCTGGGATGTCCGGGAGTGGAATGCCTCATCTCGGGAGCAGATGAGGCGGAGGCGAAGGAATTGAGAATAGGGGATGGCATTTTTGCAGGAAGGTGGGTGAGAGGAGGTGTATTCTAGGTAGCTGTGGGAGTCGGTAGGCTTGAAGTGGATAGTGGTTTCTAGGTGGTTGCCAGAGATAGAAACAGAAGTCCAGGAAGGAGAAAGAGGTATCGGAGATGGTCCAGGTGAACTTAAGGTTGGGGTGGAAGGTGTTAGTGAAGTGGATGAACTGTTCGAGCTCCCGCGCCGATACGGTCATCGATGTACAAAAACAGTTCAGTTTATTTTCAATTTAAAAAGGAGTGTTTTGGGACTAATGGAATTATTTAAAATCTTTGGGTTTGTGTTATTCTATTTAATGTAAGTTTCTTTTGTAATCGACATCCAATTTATTGTTAAAGCAAAACTGTATTTATATTTCAGCGTGAGATCATGATATTAAAATCAAAACAAACAAAGACACAAATCTATCAAGCTAGGTTCCTGGCTGGGATCTGACTTGTCCAGAATAACATCAGCTGGGATCAGAAACACATAATGAGCTGCTTCCCACTTCCACTTCACTACTTCTGCGAATGAGATATTTTGAACAATAGATATCATCCAGACCCATGGAAATTAGAAATTTCAAATAAAAATAGAAAATGTTGGAAATTTTCAGGTTTTGCAGCATGTGAGGAAAAAGAAACGTACTTAATGTTTCAGGCTGATGACTTTTTCCAAAATATCACTGATCTAAAAGTTGAACTGTTTCTTTCCATAGAAGCTGTCAGAGATCATAGAGTTCTACAGCACAGAGACAGGCCCTTCGGCCCAAACTGGTCCACACCGACCAAAATGTCCATCCACGCTAACCCCATGTCCCTGCAGTTCGCCCATATCCTGTAAACCTTTCCTATCCATGTGTTTGTCCAAATGCCTTTTAAACAGTGTTAATGTACCCGCCTCAACCACTTCCGCTGGCAGCTCATTCCATGTGCTCTGTTTTAAAACAAAAGTTGCCCCTCGGATTCCCGTGTATTCTTTTCCCTCTTACTTTAAACTGATTCCCTCTAGTCCTCGATTCTACAACCCTAGGTAAAACACTGATTGCATTCACCCTATCCATGCCTCTTTATAAGGTCCCCCCTCCTCAGTCTCCTACGCTCTAAAGAAAAAAGTTCTAGCTTGTCCAATCCCTCCCTACAACTCAGTCCCTTGAGAGCTGGAAACATCCTTGTAAATTTCTTCTGCACTCTTTCCAGTTTGATAACATCTTTCCTACAGCAAGGTGAAACTGAAACTGAACACAACACTCCAAGTGCGGCCTCATCAACATCCTGTACAACTGCAACATAACTTCCCAACTTCTATACTCAGTGCGCTGACTGATGAAGGCCAGTGTGCCAAAGCCTTCTTCACTGCCCTGTCTACCTATGACTGCACTTTAAGGGAACCGTGCACCTGAGTTCCAAGGCCTTTCTGTTCCACTACACTCCTTAAGGCCCTACTATTCACCATGAAACTCCTCCCTTGATTTGACTTTCCAAAACGCAACATCTGTGTTAAACTCCATTTGTCATTTCTTGGCCCACTTCCCCAGCTGACCACGATACTGCTGCAATTTCTGATAACCTTCCTACTGTCCACGATACCGCCTATTTTAGTGTCATCTGCAAATTTAATAATCATGCCTTGTATATTGTCATCCAAATCATTGATATAGATAACAAACAGCAATGGACCCAGCACCGACCCCTGACGAACACCACTAGTGATGGGCCTCTAGTCCAACTAGTATCCTTCCACTATTACTCTCTGCTTCTCACCATCAAGCCAATTGTGTATCCAATTTGCCAACTCTCCCTGGATTTCATGCAATCTAACCTTCCAGAGCAGCCTACCCTGTGGAACGTTGTCCAAGGCCTTACTGAAATCCATATAGACAACGTCTACCACCCTGCCCTCATCGCACTTCCTGGTCACTTCTTCAAAGAACTCTAACATAACTTACCTACTACAGATGTTAAGCTTGCTGGTCTATAATTCCCAGGTTTTTTTTATAGCCCTTCTTAAGTAAGGGCACAATATTCACTATCCTTTGGTCTTCCAGGACCTCATTCATGGCTAACGATGATGCTAATATATCAGCCAGGCTCCCCGCAGTTTCTTCTCTAGCCTCTTGCAGGGTTCTTGGATATATCTGATCAGGACCAGGAGATTTATCCACCTTCATACACTCTAATACTTCCAACACTTCCTCTGCTGTGATATGGACTGTCCCCAGGATATCGCCTCTAACTTCCCCAAGTCGTCTTGTCTTTCTCCACGGTAAACACAGAGGAAAAATATTCATTTGAGGACCTCGCCCATCTCCTGTGGTTCCACACATACATGTCCACTTTGGTCCTTGAGGGATCTTATTCTGTCTCTAGTTGTTCTTTTTCCTTTATTATACTTAAAGAATCTCTTTGGATTCACCCTAATCTTCTCAGCCAAAGCTATCTCATGCCCCCTTTTCGCCCTCCTGATTTCCTTCTTCAGTGAACTCCTGTATCCCCTATATGCCTCCAGGGATTCCCTTGATCCCAGCTGCCTGTCCCTGTTCCATGCCTCCTCCTTTGTTTCCAGTCAAAGCCTCAATATCTCTTGTCATCCGGGGTCCTCCACTGCTGCCAACCTTGCCCTTCACCCTCACAGGAACATACAGATCTTGAACTCTAGCTATCACACTTCTAAAGGCCGTCGACTTGCCAGAGATTCCTTTGCCTGCAAACAAACTACTCCAATCAACCCCTGCAAGCTCCTGAATGATTCCATCAAAATTCACCTTGCCCCAGTTTAGAGCTTGAACCTGTAGACAGTTCTGTCCTTCTCCATAACTATTTTAAAATTAATAGAACTATGGTACTGGTCCCAAAGTGATCCCCCACTGTCACCTGTCCTGCCCTATTTTCCAAGATTAGGTTGAGTTTTGCCCCTGTCTGAGTAGGAACCTCTATATACTGCTTGAGGAAACTTTCCTGAACAAATTTAACAAATTCCACCCCATCCTAGTCCTTAACACTATGGCAGTCCCAGTCTATATCAGGAAAATTAAAATCCCCTACTAAGGCAACCCTATTTCTCTTGCAAGTCTCCGCAATCTCCCTGCATATTAATTCCTCTAATTCCTGTTGATTATTTGGGGGCCTATAGTACAACCCCACTAACATCACCATCCTCTTCTTATTTCTTAGCTCCACCCACAAAGCCTCACTGGATGATACCTCAATAATTTCATCTGACTACAGCTGTGATACTGCCCTTTATCAATAATGCAACTTCCCCTGCCATCTTTCCTCCACCTCTGTCCCGCCTAAAGCACCTGTACCCTGGCTCATTAAGCTGCCAGTCCTGCCCTCCTTTAGCCATGTTTCTGTAATGGCTATAATATTCCAGCCCCACGGACCTATCCACACCCTGAGTTCATCGGCCTTACCTGTCAGCACTCTTACATTGAAATAGATGCAATTTAATCCACAGACATTCCTCGCTCCCTGTCCAGTTCCAGCCTGACCTGTCTCTTCAATTTGTTATTTCTGATTATTGTATCTCCTTCCAGCCTTGCACTTGCCTCTCTGTTGTTGAGGATTCCACCCCCCTGCCAATCTAGTTTAAATCCTCCCTTGCAGCACTAGCAAATTTGCCCACCAGGATATTGGACCCCTCCAGTTCAGGTGCAACCTGGTTCAGAAAAGATCCCAATGATCCAGGAATCTAAGTCCCTGCCCTTGCACCAATTCTTTAGTCATGCATTCATCTGCCATATCCTCCTGTTCTGAAAAGTCGCAGCATTTTCTTATTGTAATTTCAAAAAACATTTGTCTCTCAATCTCACCAGGTTTCCCAGCCCTCAATTTTAAATGTCAACAGGATCACAGCCTGATTTGATGTAAAAGTAGGAACTAAAGAACTATTCTGGCAAAGTTAATTAGCACTTTTGCTGCTCTCAACTTATCATTACACACGTAGCTTGAGCTAATTTCTTAACATCTATCTGATAGAAATAATGAAATAAATCACTATTAATTTTTCAGTTGGACAAGATTGCTACACTCGAATCTGGAGTCTACATGATGGTACCATCCTTCGAACAATTCCATCTCCTCACTCTATTTCCAAGGACTCCATCCCCAGTATAGTTTTCTCTTCACAATTGGGAGGGAGAGGTGGTGTACCTGGACTTCTGATGGCAGTCTGTCATGATCTGTATCACTTTCCATACAATTCTAATAACTGAATTAGTAAGAGAAGAGCTCTGAGGCACAGCCACCAATCATGAGTTTTGTCAAGTGAATCAGTACTTTGAAGAAGAAGGTTTCAAGTTGTTATATTTTTCTATCCTTCTCCAGCAAGGACAGGCTAAATACCTGTGGGAAGAGCACAAGAGGCTGAACAGCTGGTCATTTAAGTTGGTGTTCTGAATGGCATATTTAGTTATGCTGGTTAGGTAAAATTTAAATTAATCAATAAACCACTGGCTTTTGTTTTGTTAGATTATGAGGGGATTGTTAATATTGCAGCAGGTGTTGCACATTTGACCAGAGTAATCAGATATGTTGGACAACACGAGCCTTAAGCACCACACGTGCTGTAAATTTGTGTAAACTGCATATAGTTTCTGTTTAAGAGCTAAGTAGGTGGGAATTTTTTTTTTGTGTAAAAGCAAAATATCGTCTGAAATTCTGACAAGTCATAGAACAGACTGGTAATTTACAAAAAATACAGTGAAAAGTGTTTAAGTTGCCACGTGCTGGTGCCTTATATTAATAACAGAAATCCTACTGAAAAAATTAAGACAAAGTCCATTTTTGTTCAATTCATGGCTCACGGGTTCCCAAGTTAAGAAAAAGACAGGAACCAGGTTATTTGAATTTCAGGCTGGACCACCATGCTGCCGAAGAACCTGCCTCAAGGACCTACCTCCATGCTGCTGAAGCAGACCACCACACTGGACCATTAAAATCCTGGGCCGCAAGACTCCACAGAAGCCGCCTCAAGCAATACTGGACCGTTGGAATCCTGGGTCAAGCCCACCTCACCACAAAAGGCATCGTCGATCTGGACTGTTGGAATTCCAGGCTGAACCCACCAAGCCGCCAAAGCAGACCACCACTCCATAGGACCCACCAGGATGTGGCTGTCATGTGATTAAGTTCAACTCTTTCCCCCCCTGCCCCCAGCTGCTGAAACTCTGACATGAAAATGATATTTTGCTTTAGTGTTTGTTTACACATTGCTACATTTACAAAATATGTTTTTGAAAAATAAACTAGCAAGTGCTACTGTGTGCAATCTAAATAAGCAAATAATACATCACTGCCTTAAGAGGGTTGAATCGGTTTCAGTAAAAGCAAATGGGACAAAGCTGAAGAACTGTAGATTTATGGGAACATATGATGAGCACTGACCTACCTACAGCTATACTGGCCTGAAAACACCTGATCTAGTCTGATCTTGAAAACTAAGCAGGCTTGGGTCTAATGAGTACTTGGATGGGAGACTGTGCGTAATGTGCAATAGAAGGAATGCAATAATAGTCAGCCAGGAGGCCTAGGTTCAAGGCTTTGTATTAACATCAGTGATTGGGTTGCTTTGCGATATGTTTAGTAAATGATACAGAGTCATAGAGTAATAGAGCAGGGAAACAGGCCCTTTAGCCCAAACTGCTCCATGCTGACTATGGTACCCACTTAGCTAGTTCCAATTGCCCCTGCATTTGGTCCATATCCCTTAAAACCCTTCCCATCTCAATGCTTTTTAAATGTTGCTATTACACCTGCCTCAACCACTTTCTCCAGCAGCCCATACTACATTCGTACCACTCTCTGTGTGAAGAAGTTGCCCCTCAGGTCCTTCTTAAATCTTTGCCCTCTCACTTTAAACCTATACCCTCTAGTTTTCAATTCCCCATCCCTGGGGAAAAAGTATATATGCATTCATCCTATCTATGTCCCTCATGATTTTGTATACCTCAAGAAGGTCACCCGTCATTCTCCTATGTTCCAAGGAGTAAAGTCCTATTCTGGCCAACCTCTCTGAATAACTCAGGCCTACTAGTCCTGGCAACATCCTCATAAATCATTTTTGCACACTTGCCAGTTTAACCATGTCTTTCCTATAACGGAGTGACCAAAACCGTACACAATATTCCAAGTGTGGCCTCATCAACGACTTATACAACCATAATTTTATGTCCCACCTCATACTAAATGCTTTGACTGATGACGGCCAGCATGCTAAATGCTTTCTTCACCACCCTGCCTATCTGTGATGCCTCTTTCAATGAACTATGTACTTACACTCCTTCTGTTCCACAACACTCCTCAGGGCCCTGCCATTTACTGTACAAGTCCAATCTTGGTTTGAATTTCCAAAGTACAACACCTCACATATATCTGTATTGAATTGCATTTGCCAATCCTCATCCCACTTCCCCATCTGATTGAGATCTCTGTAATTTTTGATAACCACCTTTGCTATTGATAATACCTCCTAATTTGTGTCATCTGCTAACTTACTAATCATGCCTTATACATTCGCATCCAGATCATTTTATGTGAATAAGAAATAACAAAGGTCCCAGCACTGACCCCTGTGGCACACCACTAGTCACAGGCCTCCAGTCTGAGAAACAACCTTCAGCTATCACCCCTCTGCTTCCTACCACCAAGCCAATTTTGAATCCAGTTAGCTAGCTCTCCCTGGATCCCTTGTAACCTAGCTTTCATGATGAGCCTGTTGTGCAGGACCTTGTCAAAGGCCCTACTAAAGTCCATATAGGCAACATCTAATGCCCTACCCTATAGGGTGGCACGGTGGCTCAGTGGTTAGCACTGCTGCCTCACAGCACAAGGGACCATTCCACTCTTGGGTGACTGTGTGGAGTTTGCACATTCTCCCTGTGTCTGCGTGGGTTTTGTTGGGGTGCTCCAGTTTCCTCCCACAGTCCAAAGATGTGCAGGGTAGGTGGATTGCCCATGCTAAATTGCCCTTAGTGTCCAGGGATGTTTAGGTTAGGTGGGTTAGACATGGGGAAATGCAGGGATAGGGGAATGGGTCTGGGTGGTGGGATGCTGTTCGGAGGGTTGGTGTAGACTGGTTGGGCTGAATAGCCTGTTTCCATACTGTAGGGACTCCAGCTAAAGATGAAGCAAAAATCTCTGCAACAGCCTCTGCAATTTCTTCCCCAGCCTTCCACAACATCTGAGGATGGGCTTGATCAGGCCCAGGAGATTTATCCATCTTTAGGTGCTTTAAGGCTGCAAACACTTCATCTCTGGTAATCCGTATTTGTTTCCCGTATTTCCTTAGCATCTATGATTCTCTCTTCAGTAAACACGAGGAGAAATATTCATTGAAAATCCACCCCCCCCCACCTTCTTCTCCTGTGGCTCCACAAGTAGATGGCCATTCTGGTCTTTAAGGGGACCTATTCTCTCCCTAGCCACCCCTTTACTCTTAATATAGCTATAGAACCTTTTGGGATTATCTTTAACCTTATCTGCCAGATCCATCTCATACCTTCTTTTTGTTCTTCTGATTTCCCTCTTACACTTTTTATAGTCATCTAGGCATTCAATTGAGCCTGATAACTTAAACCCGCCTTCTTTTTCCTGACCAGAGCCTCAATATTCCTCGTCAGCCAGGGATCCCTAAACCTGCCAACTTTTCCCTTCACCCCAACAGACTGTCCCTGGACTCTTGAAATCACACTTTTAAAAGCCTCCTATTTGCCAGTCATTTCTTTTCCTTCAAACAGACCCACCCAATCGATCTGTGTTAGATCTTGCGTAATGGCCCCAAAATTGACCCTGCTCCAGTTTAGCACCTTAACCTGGGGACCGGTTCTATCTTCTTCCATAAGTATGTTAAAACTGAGAGAGTTATGGTCACTGGACCCAAAGTGCTGTCCAACTGATACTTCAGTCACTTGCCCGACCTCATTTCATAAGAGGAGGTCCAGTGTTGCATCCTCCTGAGTAGGGCCCTCTACGTATTGATTTAGAAAACTTTCTTGGACACATTTGACAAATTCCATCCCGTATGCCTTTTACACTCTGGATGGCCCAGTCAAAACAGAGGAAAATTAAAATCTCCGATCAATACTACTCTGTTATTCCGACAGATATCTGTAATTTCTCTACACATCTGCTCCTATAGTACCTGCTGACTATTTGGGGGTCTATCTTGTGTTGGCTGGAGAAGCTGGAAATCTACGGGACTTTGCAGAGTCTTAGACTGATAATATATAACTGACTCTCCTTGTATTTGCTTGACAAACAGTTATCCTATTTGAACCTCAAAGCAGTTTGTCAAAGTGAACACTGCCACTAGCCTAGCAAACTGGTGGGAGGGAGGAGTTTTTTATAAAAGTAATAAATGTTGAGGCTGTAAAGCAGACTAGTAATACTTACAACTAAAAATGCTCAAAGCAAAAGAAAACTTCACAAAGGTAACGGGGCATTAGCAACAAATAAGACCAGCAGGTTAAAACAGAAAACAGTTGAAGCTAAAGAAAAAACAAAGATCTGAATGCTAGAAATCTGAAACAAAACAAATGTTGAAGAAGCTCAAGAGGTCTGGCAGCATCTGTGGGGAGAAATCTGAATTAACGGTTCAAGTCCAATTCCTTCTTCAGAACTGACAAACTGGTGGTGAGGGAGTGGGTGTGGGAGGACGTGGAGCCCAGAGGGAGGGAGGGAGAGCGAGAGAGAAGGCAAACAAAGGGATGGATGATAGTATGTGTTATGCACCAGACCGGAATCTCTCAAAATATTTTAAGAAGGTAGCCCAGACACTAATTTTTTCCTATTTTAAATGTAAATGTGAAATGTGTTCCTGACGCAACGTGACTGGTCAAATGTTAAGCAAAACACAATTTATTTAACACTGTAAAATACAAATAAAAGAAAGAAGAATTTAGAATAACAACTATTGAAAAACTTAACTAAATAATGAATACAGTACCTATTACGAATTAATTGTTCCAATATAGTAACATCCTATAAACACACCCCTTGGCAAAAAGGCAAATTCAGACACACGTTCTCACATGCAGTTCTCCAATCCAGGAGGAAAAAACATTAAGACAATTCAGAGAGTGTAGCAGCCAGGAGACTTTCACTGAAGCTTTCATCTCTTTCGAGACTCCAATGGCTTCTGCTTAAAATTAAACCTAAAAACAAAAAAAAAACTAGAATGCCTGGTCTGTGAGAACCAGTCACTGCAACTCATTTCAATTATGTTGTCTTTGAGCACGTGTTCAATCTCTTTTTCAACCTGTGCCAACTTTACAGGGTTAAGTCTATAAGGATGTTGCTTAATTGGAATGGTAGTTCCCATATCTACATCATGCCTAATTAGATTAGTACTTCCCTGCTTATTCCCACATATCTCCTCATGTGATTGTAAGAACTCTTTCAGGTCATTTTGATTTTCCACTGGAAGGTAACCAGTTACCCCAATTTTTGAAAACTTCCAATTCAAGATCCTCCAAATTTGACTCTTCACTCTTGTGTTGTAACCAGTAACACATTCTCCTTTTGCTTTCCTTCCCTATCAAAATACCTTTTGAGCATATTCACAAAATGCATTATGTGAGATTTTCTTTCTATCTGGCATTCTTTTCAACTAATTCATCTCAGTTAATTTCCTTTCAATTTGATAAGATCCACTAAACCTTGCTTTTAAAGGTTCACCCACCACTAGAAGTAACACTAACACTTTATCTCCACTAGCAAAATTGTGAATTTTGATTTCTTATTTGTTTCCTGTTTTGTCATAGCTGTGCTATTTTTAAATGCTGCCTAGCTAACATTACCCACTCTATTTAATCATCCCATAAAATTTGACATAGTCCAAATATGTTGTCTCTAAACTCTGTCCCACCAATTTCTCCTTAATTTCAATTGTCCTCTCACCTCATGCCCAAAAATTAATTCAAATGGACGGAATTGGTAGATTCTTTTGGCACATCCCTAATTGCAAAATGTACAAATGGAACTCCTTCCTCTCAATCCTCTGGATAGTCTTGACTATAAACCTTCAACATGGTCTTTAAAGTTTGATGCCACCATTCTAATGCTCCCTGAAATTCTGATGATACACAGTGGATTTGAATTGTTTGAAATTCCTAAGCTATCCACAATTTCCCTGAATAATTTTTATGTAAAATTTGACCCTTAATCTGATTGTATCTCTGTGAGTTGTCCTTATCCAGTGAAAAAAATGAGTAACTCCTCTAAAGTCCTTTGAGCTGTGATATTGCACAATGGAATGGCCTCTGGCAATCTAGTGGA